TGGGGCCCCGTGGAGAGAGAAGCCCACGCTGGAGCAGGTTTGCTGGCAGGACTTGTGACCCCACAGGGGACCCACGCTGGAAAAGTCTGTTCCTGAAGGACTGCACCCCGTTAAGGGACCCAGGCTGGAGCAGTTCATGAGGAACTGTAGCCTGTGGGAAGGGCTCACATTTGAGAATTTTGCGGAGGACTGTCTCCCATGGGACAGACCCCAGTGCTGGAGCAGAGGAAGAGTGTGAGGAGTCCTCCTCCTGAAGAGGAAGGAGAGGCAGGGACAAAGGGTGATGAAATAAAAGGCAACCCCCATTCCCTGTCCCCCTGTGCCACTGAGGGGGAGGAGGTAGAGAATTTGGGAGTAAAGTTGAGCCCGGGAAGAAGGGAGGGGTGGGGGGCAGGTGTTTTAAGATTTGGTTTTATTTCTCATTATCCTACTCTGATTTGATTGCTAATAAAATTAAACTAATTTCCCCAAGTCGAGTCTGTTTTGCCCATGGCAATAACTGGTGAGTGATCTCCCTGTCCTTATCTCGACCCACGAGCCTTTCATTATAATTTCTCTCCCCTGTCCAGCTGAGGAGGGGAGTGATAGAGTGGCTTTGGTGGGCACCTGGTGTCCAGCCAGAGTCAACCCACCACACCTCCTTGGCAAAGTAAGTTATTCTGTGTAGCATAACAGCAAATGGAATTACATCTTCAGAAAGCTGGTTACAGCATGTTTTGTTACTGGAGAGGGAGAAATTTAATTATTAATTTAAAGTCAAGACTGCACAAAAATATTTATCCATGAGATACTGGCAGTATCTACCAGAGATACCAGTACTTGTAATACTGAAAGAAATGCATCAGAGTATCAGCCTACGAAAAATTGCAGTGTTAGCATGGACTGTACTGGTGAGGAAAATGAAAACTGAATCCTTGTCTATCATGTTGGCACCTCTACACAAGTTAAAATTAACGATGGATGGATATGAAAATGATATTTGAGTAGAATGGTTTAGTTATTAAGTATATTTTTGCCAGCTGAAAACAGTTTACATTTTTCACCCTGTGGTTTATTTTCAAAGTTAAGGAAGACATTACATTAGCTAAAAATATCAATTACCCGTTGCAATGTTATGATATGAAGTATTCACTAGGAGCAACTGTATACAGATTGGGGAGGTAATGAAGAATAACTCGTAATTTGGTATATGAGATGGGGGTAGACACATACAGCTGGCTGACACAAGTTTGTTCTACTAGAATTGAAGGTCAACAGATCCAAAAGCTAGTGACACACCTGTGTGGCACTATGCACAAGCTCATTGCATATGTACACATATACAAAAGAACTCACATGCGCTGTGTCTCAACAGGACTTACAAGCAGAGCTGGCACTTATTTTGCCACATTTACTTGGATAATAGCCTGAGCAAGCTTACTTCTGCCTGTAATAACTGTGTCTCAACAGGACTTACAAGCAGACCTGGCAACTTATTTTGCCACATTTACTTGGATAATGGCCTGAGCAAGCTTACTTCTGCCTGTAATACAGTGTGCAGACACATACTAGAGAACGAGAGTGTAGCAAACAAAACTAGAAATCATGCTGCATTCTAGTATTAGACTACAGAAGAAAAAACAGACTCATACTATACTTTCTCCTATTTTCCCCTTTATTTTTGTCTTCGTCTCCCATAAGTACACCCTATCAAAATTCTTAAAATACAGGAAGCTTATGGATACTGACAAGGAATTTTACGTGAATTTGCTACCTTTTCGCAAAGGGGAGCACGACTACATTATGCAAAAAAGAGCCTTGAACTTGTACGAAGCACAACATTTATTTCTACACTCTCACTGACCACATCAGCACAAGTTGCATTTCTTTAAATCACTGTCTGCTTTCTCTGATTAGGTGACTCTCTTGATTAGAGATCAAATCTAGAGACCAAACTCAATTAGGTTATTGATTATGCTCTTCATAGTCCAAATCGATCAGGTAAGACAATTTCATAAATAGTCAATTTAAAATATGAAAATGATATTTCAGCAGAATGGTTTAGTAAGTATAAATAAAGGAATAAAGTAAGTTTGATCCCTTCAGATACTCCTGTATTTATATCCTGCTTATTTAGAGCAAATAGACCAGAAGTGTCATAAATTATCAAAGTTTTACACATTAGTTACTTCCAGCTTCTTAGGGTATAAACAAACAAATTAGAAGCTCTGTAAAATTCAAAAACTTCTTGTGCTGTCGACAGTATATAACTGTTGGGCACCATATTGCATCCCTTTGATACATCCATAAACTGCCCAAGCAGTATTTATAATCTTGCGGCATGTATTTTGCAAGCAAAACTGAGAATACATTGAATGACTGTAACTCAGTTTGGAACTGAAGAAAGCTCTGGAATTACAAATGGAGTATTTTTTTTTATTTCATTGTCTTTGTGTTTACCTGTGAAATGGTAGAAAGTCACAGCACAAACAATGCTTTTGAGCCAGTCTACTGAAAAGTTTGTGGAATGCCTGGCCTTTTGATGTCACTTCTACTAAGCCATTCTATTTCTAGTATCCCTTGGTTTTTTATAAGCCTATAAAGATTGCAGAGTAATCTTCTCAGAAAGCAGTAAGAGGTACTGCACTTTGACAGCTGAAAAGGAGGTCTGTCGTCTTCAAAGATTTTCACTAATGCTTCACTCTAAAAAATGACATTTATAGATAATAAACTTTTTACCTTCATTAATGAAGAAGTCAGCTATATAATATGCTGCTCTTACAGCTGATGGGGAATGTGGAATGCCTGGTGAATTCTTCCACTCAAAAGGATTTTTCTCTGGATGCCACTGGACGCCATAAATTGGATATTTATACGCTGCAACAAACACAAACCCATAAGCAAGGTCTATGCCTTAAGAATTACGCGCTTAGCCTTACTGCACAAGAAACTCAAAGGATAAGCTACAAAAATACCTCACTTATCAACAGTTTCACAAAAGCTTAAACAGCAAGTTGAAACTGTTAAAGTCACAGTAGAAGTGAAGGAAAAAAAAAACGGGTATTGTAAAAGAAGGGTCTCATTCCATGCAAGATTTCTGAACATAACTGTTTTGATTATTCATTTCAGAATTTTTATATATATATGTATCAGTCTCAAAACTTCCTATCTACTGCCAGCATCACTCAACATAAAATATTCACAGATACATGGGAGATCCCTGGCAGTTCCATGGGACAGGTCCAAGTCTTCGGATCTCCTTGAAGGCCCAGTCAATCCAGGGGCAGCTCGCATCTGCTCTGTGCCAGGCCTGATACACGCAGGGGGAGGCCAGTCCTTAACCCTCTTACAGAGAATAGCAGCACAGCAGCTGATGACTGCTCTGTGATAAACCGCTTGCAGGCACAGAAGATGTCTGTCATTAGCCTAATCAGGTTTTCGATCAAACTGCTATTCTTCTCTTCTGGAGGACAGCTGGTTTGCCATACAGAAGAATCCCATGGGCCGACAGCTGGGCCTTACTGTAGAGCTGCTAGTAGTGTACTGATCAAGATAAACCAATCCCTAAAGAGCTAACTTGTTTCTTGAGCTGAGCAAGCCTGGTGCAACACATACGCAACACAAGATAAGTAATGCAAAAGGTTTCTGGAGGAGGGCAATTACCAGTATTGCTGCTGAAGTAATGAAGGATGTTGCTGTCACCTCAGTACCCTGAATTGTTCTTCCCGTACAGCAAACAGACACAGAGCATCGCAAGAATGCAAGCATAAGCAGACAGACAGAAAGCAAGGTGCAACAGAGGCACATTGCACTGCGGAGGGATTAAACTATTACAGGATGAGTGCTGTACACTTCACATCACAGCATTCGAATATTCCAGTGCTAAAGTGTAACAGCATATCTGGAGGGGGAACAGCAGGTGAGAGAAGTAATTAGGCTCACATGTATGTATTCAAAAGATAAAATATCTCCCTGCAAACAGATTATGTTCCTCACAGCCAGAGCACACTGGCAGGGCTGATGCTCACTCTGCTACTCTAACAGCAAGCTTGCAGTACAAATTAACATCAATGCCACAACACCTCTAAAGAACTAGTTTGTTACAATTACAGTTTACAAAGGAAATTAATTTCCCTACCTTCCATGGTAGATATAAACTCCACTTCATCATCCGTGTTAGTGGTCAGAACATTATAGAAATTACGAAGCTTTTCATTCTTTGTGAAATTCTGTGATAAGGAGGGGGGAAAAAAAGATGTGTTATTTGCTCATTTATTTCTAGTTTTAACAGAGCACATGCATTTGTGTTCAGGAAATAAAATGATCAAATACCTCCATGGAGAGGCTCCACTTATGAAAGTTTGATGTCAACGGCTCAGTAGCAAATGCATATAATACATCATCAGGAAAATTCTTGAATAATCTACTGTCTTTTGCAGCTATTACAAAGAAAAATGAAAAAAGGATATTGTCCATTACCCAAGCTGCTAACAGATGGACTAATACTGAACAGGAGACAAATTTAATCAAATACTGCATTAAAGTAAACTTTTTTCTGTAGTATAGCTTTACGATTTTAGAATATGCTGCAAGGAAAATCAGTGAAATAACTACAACAGGTTTCCAATATGCTGTTACCACTGTCCTCCAGTCTTGATCCATAGAGAACCCAACTTTGCTACCTAAGTTCTCACTAAAATAAGCATCATTCTTTACCACTCATTTCAGCGACATTTCTATTCACAATGAGCATAAATGACAGAATTTGTGAATGCTACATGGTCGTAGATGGATTACTCGCAAATTAAAGGATAAAATATCAAGAGAGGCCACATTTTACCAGTATTGCTGAGTAGCACAGCTCTATCTTAAGGGATGTCTTTGATTTCAATGCTGTACAAGTGGGACAGCAATGCTAATATTCATCATTAGGAAAGATGCAATTTGAAAAATTTAAAATTACCTGCTCTCCGAGTTCGATAGGTTTTGGACCCATGAATTTTGTTCAACTCTGTAACAAAAAGGGACCTAAACCCACATTATTTTTGCAGGTCCAAATTATCAAATGACTCAACGAGCTACAACTGTGGTTTTTGCTGACTGCTGTTGGTTTCAAATGGCTTGTGCTCACATCTCTGCTTTAGAAGTGATAGAGTTGCAGTCATGGCAATTTAATAAGAAAGAATTTAACAAGATAATCATCAGAAACCTCCCAAACATTCACCCCTGCATATTTATCACAAACAAAACACAACACCTCTCAGCAAAACTAAGACACAAGACGTAACAGATTTTTCACCTGAGGTAAAGTTCAAAGGGAGTGCAAAACCATCTGTCTTGGTATTAACAAGTAAAACCTCGCCACTTGTGAGATACGTAAGCTCTTCGTGTCCAAGACATGTTCCCCATACTGGGAAATAATCTCCTTTATCGTTAGCCTTCAAAATAAGAAGCAACAACATCAGGAAAAAGTACTGAAAATTTACAGAAAGAAGACTGAAGAGAACTTCCTACTCTTTTCACTTTCTCTTGTGTAGGTGAGAAGTAAAACTACTACAGTAGTACAAATTGCTACCAGTGGAATTGTAACAGTTCAATTACAATTGCAATAAACACAGACTCCCTTAGTTTTTCTCCTAAAATATGAAGGCTAGGGGATATACACATGCCTGTTGAAGCAGCAAACTGAGCCTAATGTTGATATTAATTTGACTGTTCTGTTCTACGAATAAGTAATGTTGAGAGCAGCCTAAACAGAAACCACAAAATGGCAACGTTTCTATAAAAAAGGCAATCATAAGAAGGGACACAAACCAATCTGTCACCATTTTGAGGGAAAGCCTATTCATTACAATTCATACTTTTATATGAAGCGCGTTATGACCACATAGCCAGGGCACTATGCAATGTCCGTATGCCTATGCCCACCCACCTGTATTAAGAAAACATAAATCCTGTCACCAGCATGGCTACGGCCTTAAGTGACATACTTATACACTTGTTTAACTAGCAGGTTTGGACCTGTGTTCCAGAAAGATAAATTGTGAGTTTAAGCAACATAAAAAAGTGACAATCATTTTCAAAAGAATAAAAATTGTCAGGTAAGTGCAAAAACAAGAGAAGAAAGCAAAAGGGAGAAAAGAAAAGCAAAAAGAGAACACAGCTAGCTTCCTGTCGCTTAACTAAGCACAGTGCATACACACAGTGGAAATCTGCATTTTTGTATGGTTTATTCCTGATAGCACATGTTAGAGACTGGGATGTTTCAGAACTCCTGTTTTTGTGAAATCTGAGTAGTATTTCTTAACTTGTTTCTAAACATTTTTAAGTTATGCATACCATACCACACATCCACCCCTGAAGAGCTGCTGCTCAAAAGCCATTTTTGAGAAAGATGAAATTACAGGCTTAGAATAAAAATGTTACCCTACTGCATTACTGATAATATGGTAATAAAAGCCCATATAACTACTACTTCTCAGAGCAAAACATGGAAGATTTACAGGAAGAAGACTAACAGTACTGCACAGTCTTCATGACCACCCGTCATGCATGGCTAGACACAGGACTTGCAACTCCGCTCTCTTTCATTTCAGTGAGGAATAAAACCACTAAAGACAGAAAATAGACTACAGTTTAAGAACAATTACAACTGAACTGTAAACATTTTGTACCCACCCTCCCCTCCTTCTAAATAAACATTAGTCTGGAGGCTAAGCATATATTAAACAACACCCAAGACATCACATTTTAAAAACTAATTTAAAAGCTGGAAAACAGCATTTCATTTAGGTTTTTGCCTAGCTAGTAAAATTCTATTGACTTGGATGGGGATTAGTATTTCACATCCTCTATTCATATTAAAGCAGAACCAGACCAAGTAATTTCTCATTGTGAACATCTGAAAATGAAAAGGAGCCCCTCATATATTTTAAAAAAACATAAAATTCAGTCAACTCTGTACCTGCTAATATACTCTTGACTATTGTAGCTTACCTTACATTAGTAAAACTACCAATATTTTATAGCGCTAATTAAGTCTCAAAAGATGAAAATCAAAACACACAATCATCACAAATAGCACAGAAAAAAACCCCGACTTATTAGTAAGGGTTACCTATGATGAACTGAAAATTATTTTCTGCCTTTCACTCACCTGAAGTACACATACCACCTAATAAACCTGCCTCTCTGATCATAAAATTATGACACATGCAATTCAGTTAATCATTGCGAAATGTCAACAGAATTCGTAATTGTACTGCAATCCACAAGAAACCCTTATCCCAATTCTGAATACCAAGACACCAGCTGCACTTCATACCGTGAGCAGTTTCAAAGAGACAAATGAGATTAATTGCCTCACATAAAAGTGAGATTGTCTTTGCAAGATTCAGTTTAAGCCGACAGACTAACAATCACCACAAATAAAGATAGACAAAAGAGTAACAACATTGGTATCATGGGGATTGAAGAGTAGGAAGCTCAATTACTAAGTTGCAGCAGCTGACTGGTCCTGTGAATGCCACTGCCTTCGCTTTCCTTGCCTGCTGTTGAAAGCCAGCAGCAAGGGTACAAGAGGAATTCCTCGCTGCCAATAAATGCTTCTACCATGGTAACAGTTTAAGCACTACCCATAACTGCCTCTAGAATTGGGCAAAGTTTTCCAAAGTATGACTTCTGTGACAATGTTAATCAATGTTAGCTGAAAATAAAATAAATCCAGTAAAGAGGAAAAAAGGAAGAAAATTTACATTTTTTAATCAATTTGAATACAGAAGATTCTTAACAAATCATAGGGATTGTATATAAAGCTTAGTGAATCTCCATGCCTTTCCACAATGCAAATTTTACTTCAAAATGTGTTGATTACTATCTGAAAAAACCCACCTCTTGTGCTCTAAGAAAATTAAATCTTCAGTAAGGATTCAGAGCCTTCCTGATGTTCTTTGAAAGAAACAGCCTTCCCAGAAACTCAATCTTTTCTTAATAAAGCTAATGATCATACAAATATTAAAAAGTAATTAATATAACCTTTCAAGTGTTCTTCCCACCTTTTTTCGTGTTATAAATTAAGCTAGTGTTTACTTCAAAAATCTGCTATATTTACAGTTACCAATGCAAAGAAATAGGTAAAATGGTATAACGTGCTAATGTAGATTCCTCATCTGCACCTTCAAAGATACATTTAAATCTACTTAGAGATAAGCGAGAATAAAGATGTTTCACTAGCTATAACATATATGCAAAGGGAGGCCTTAATGTTATATTATTGTAAATTGGTTTATTTAAGAGTCTCTCTAGAATTCCTTCCAAGTCTAAACTTTAGTCATAAGACTTCTACAAATTATTACATTTATGTATATCTTTGTTTAACATTTAATGTCAATGGATATCCTGCACTTTTGGAAGGCATTATTGTTACTTTATTGCAAGTTCCACACAGCCATAAAGCCCCAGGTACAATGAATAAATGATACTGTTCTCACCTGAAGAACTTGGGAGTTTAAGACCATGACACAACATGTAACAGCAGAGGATGTCAGAAGTCTGAATCTTAAGCTATTAAATGATTTTTTTACACAGAAGACAGCAATGAGCTACTTATTATGGGGCTTACAGTTAACACGCTCAATGCCAATGGAAAACTATGAAAATATGAGCCTCCCTGTCATTTTGATCTCTGAACAGTGACAATAACAAGAACAGACTGTTCCTTAGTAATTACCTCTAATGCCTTGCGGTAAAATATCTTAGCAACCCTGGAATATTCTGAAGTCTTAAGATCCACACCACCTCCTGGAAAAAGTACCCTGAAAGGCAACATCCAAGAATCTGATTAGCAACGGTGATCAAACTAAAACCTGGACAATCTACACAGAGAAAGGTCTGACAGTGATTTTAAGGGTAGGATTCAGGTCTAGGTTAAGACACCTACATTTCAGACATCTATAGATAGGCATCTAAGCTTCCATTACGGACAGCAGGGATCTAGTCAGAAAACTCAATGGAGACTCGAATAGGTTTTCTAGAGCAGACACCTAACTGGTTGGTAGGTTGAACAGCCCTGTAGGCTCCACTGGCTGTACTGACTAGCACTCAATTAATTATGTGAGTTTAGACAGCTAGCACACATGCAGACAGCTAAGTTTAGATGTCTAAGTCTTTGACTGAACCATATCCTAAATCTCAGTGTTCTTCTACTGAAGAATGGTTATTATCACAAAGCAGTGACTGAGCCTTGTGCAACGTAAGGAAGAGGAGAGTAAACAGAAAATACACAAAGCATACAAATTTCAGCTGGTACACAAAAGGGTTGCGTGCCATGACTCCGTCAAATCCTGTCCTGACTCTTAGCTGGCTCTCCCTACCACTTTAAAATCCTGGCTCCAATCTTAATTCATCCTGTTCAATTTCAGTAAAGAAGAATTGTGGCCTTGGCAGAGGGACCTTCTTCAGGCAGACAACATAGATCAAAAAGTTCCCATTAAAAGGGAAAAAAAAGTACATTTGGCCATAACCTTTGATCACACAGGATCTAATATAGACAAAGAAGACAAAGCAATCTCAGAGACAATTTCAAAGAAAGAGTGCACCATTGTTTTCCACCACAAAAAATTATCAGCAATAGCAATTCTCTGCGTGGCTCCCCAAACTCAAATACCACAAAAGAAGATGACTCAATACAGTCTAGCAGAGATTTCACATATACACACAATGACATGGAAAGTAATCAAGTACCAGAGACAGTAACATGAAATAAAGGAAGTCTCTTCTGGCTGTAACCGGAACAGTACCCGCAGAACCGACAGAACTGAACACGTGAGCGCTCCCTAACCTACTGCAGCAGAACCTCAGTTAGATTTATTCAAGCCACATTCATCAGTTGCTGATTTTTTACCAAAATGGCTGAAGGATTTCCTCTACATTTCCGTGCTCTGGAAATAGCAACCTGTATCAGTGAGATACTAACAAGCAGCTAGAAACAACTGATCCAAAGCATCTGCAAAGCGAGTGTGCGTTTAAACCCTTGTGACCAGGTTTATTTTACAGTGACTGATGCACAGGATCATGCAAAAGCCACCAGGTATTTGGTGGAAAAGTAGAGCAGTATTCACAAAAATATAAATTAGATTACTCTCCATGCCAATATAGAAAATGAATACAGCTGAAGGTATTTTCAAAACAGGCCAGATTTTAGATTTCTACAGAGATCTAGTTAGACAAATAAGGCAATCCTTACCTGGAAGCAGTGGAAAATTCACTTTACCTGTTCCTTTTGTTCAAACCAAAAACTGGCCAATACTAATTAGGAAAAACAATTGTCATTTCTGCTAATACAAAAAGGAAGTAACCCATTAAGTAGCAATGATAATGGCTTGATATTGTCATAAGCAGATTGAAATGCAACTACCTGTATTCCAGTATCTCTAACTGGTTAGAGCTGATGACGTTCCCTGTGAATTTCAAAGGCTATCTCAACAGTACATTGCTATATTCATAAAATTTACTATAGTAGAGACAGAATTTTATGATTTTAAGAAAGTCGCATTTAATAATAAATAATTTCCAACTGCAAAGAACCTGGAGCCAAGGTCTTACAACACGAAAGATCAATGTATCTCTTTCTTATTCTAAGTTTCCACAGAATGGAAAGTCCTTCCCTCCAGAGATCTTACTTGTTATTTATACACAGCTATGCTGTGGAAGCCATTAGCTGACAGTGGAGGGCAACAAGAAGAAATATAGACCATCCTTACTCATCTATATAGCACAAACCCAACTGCCCGTCATTGCAAAGACAGAAGGATAAGGAAACTGGATCTTTTTGCCTAACACCCTCTTCTGCATCGAGGTGGGTGGCGAGGTAGAAAGAATGGGAGACTCCACTGGTGAAAGTCCTTCTGGCAACCAAAGAGAGGCTGGCAGCCATGACAAAGGGATGAAATGATTCATTTTGTCTCCAACATGAGGAGCCACAGGGGAGAAAGTGTCACTGTCTTATACTTGCTTATACCGCAAGACTGTAAAGACCCATGTCTTAGTGTACAGGGCATGCTGTGGAGCATAAGAGGACAATGCTCTCCTCAGACACCCACAGGTCTAAATCTGCAAGTTCTATACAATTTGATTAACATTCTAGTATATGCATAAGCTTAACAAAAGTATTCATGGTTTAAGATACTCATCTCATGACTACAAGTAGCCCAATCACATGCCATGGGCTCACATACAATCAAGCCTTTGAAGTACAGCATCAGCTGATCTAAGTCTTCCAAAGTGCACTTTTAGCACAAGGCAAACATAAAAGATTTTGACTTTGCCTAGTCCACAATTAAAATGTGTTCAATTAGATGACATTATACCACATTTAAAATGTAGGAAGAACACATGGGTGGACTGTTGCCATAGATCAGCTGAAAAGTTAGAATGTTTGTCTAACAAAGACCTAAGCCACAGAATCACGACAGACAAGACGGGCCGTTCAAGCAGCAAGAGAGAAAGCACCCATAGAGAAAAGGGTAGAAGAGACTGGAAATCAAAAACTTTTATGATAGAGGAGATATGGAGAGGACTGGAAGAGGGAAGAAAGGGTAGGAACAGGCATGAAACACCCAGCAAGTGCTATTAAATATCAAAATTAAGGTGATCACTGAAACAAGGAAGAGGAAAAAATTAGCAAAGAGGAAGTGGGCTATTTCACTTGTAAAATTGTTAACCACTATAACGCCACTTCTGCCTGCCTGCAGACAAGCACAGGAGAATGCCAAGATGAGCCTTGGTACTGTTGCAGATTATCTGACGTGCTCAAGGAAGGAAAGGCAGCAGAGCGACATTGGGTGAAACAGCGCTCTGTCTTAGAATGTATTTACATGTCTGCAGCGCTCAGCACAACTTCTCAAGAAAGTGTTCTTGGGAATACAGCAGAGCTCAAAACCAGAACTATCACGTCTTCAACAGAAAAGCAGTGCTCAAAACTTACCCATTAATAGAGTGGAATATTTTATCATATTCTTCATCTGAAAGATTTAATCTGAAACACCAAGAAAATAGTTACAGAATACATATGAAATATACATATTTAACCACAAAAATATCATTGTTATTGAACATAAACATGAGACAGAAAATATGTAGAAAGCATGCTTTAAACAGAATAAAATGGGCCCAAATCAAATGACACATTTCACTTGAAACAACTCAATCCCCAAGACTGAAAATAGGGCCCTGTCAGATACAGTTCAGGATTAGGTACTCTGAGACACCTTTGCAGACACTCGTTAAATTTAACATTTACACGAATGGCATGGTGGTTATTTCCTGCAGACCGGCAACTCCGGTTTCCAGTTGACTCCAAGAAGGGCAGAGCTGCAAACAGTGGGTCACACCCATTCTTCAGCAAAGATGTAGTTGAGAGGTGGAAAGATGAGAAAGACCTCAGCATCAGCAAAGCATCAGCAAACCAGTATGATGGCTACACCCCTGCAGAACTGATACACTGGGTATATTCAAAGCATCCAGCTTTGTTGCATCTAACTTAGTTGCCAGAATTAGAAGCCTCCATTCACTGATGAAGCTTCTGGTCAGCAAATGTTCTGAAAGCTCCATCAACTACGTGAGCAACACTGGCTTCTAATTCAGGCACTTAACTGGTGCTCTTACTGGATTGTGTAGATACACCCTAGGGTAATTTTCTGCAGCTGCATTAGTATCATTATTAAGATCTGACGATTATCATTTTAACATCTGATTTCAGTGCATTTACTATGAGCAACAGCTGTTGGCTACGAATTATTGTCAGTTCTGTTACTTACTCTGCTACTTTTTACCCAACAACCAAAATACAACAACACATGAAGTTAGTGACGCATAGTTTGAGCAGAACTGGACTTTGGTTTCTTCAAGGAGCACCAACAGCCTCCCTCCATTACTTGAATTCTAGGACTACAGAATGTGACAAAAGATAGTATGTATACAGGTATCTAGATATCTATGTGTGTTTGTGGGGCACTACACATTAGACTGAATATAGCTAACTTCAAAAACCATGGATGCAAACTACGGAGGGTAGTTTTACAGGTAAAAAAAGAGTATTTTTCAAATAAAGATTATCATAAGAAAAGATAATAAAAATTACACTTTCCAGTCTGCTTTTATTCTGATTTTTAAAACTCCCTGCAAATTGTGGCATCTTCAAATAGTCTTTGAGGAGCTCTAAACACTCAGAAAAGCAGCACAACTGCTTTCTGTGCGTCTAAGATGATACCCTTATGTTAAACAATTATTACCCACTTGTAAGGATATAAAGATCTACCTTATTGGCACAACTCGGGCACCGGCAGATTCCAAAAACTTAACATATGAAGCTGCAATATAAGAACTTCCAAATCTGTGGAACTTCTCAAAGTGACATTCCTGTGACAATATCCCTGAAGGGTCCAAGAAAGAAAATTAGCACTATACAAATAGCAAATGCTACACACCGAAAGAAAAATTAAACTCCAGTTTCCTATATGCCAGGTCACAGTGTTACATTTACTGCCTGAAAGAATTACAAACACTGAGACAATAGGGCATCAATCACCTAATCATGCCTAATCACAAGGTACCAAATAACACTCATTACCCGACTAAGACTCAGCTTCCCTGCTTTAAGTACTTAGTACTACAATTTCTCTTAAGATTTTTAAACAAAGTATGTATAGCGTAACATTATTTACAAAAGCTTTAACCAAACCTAGGCTTCAGGAGACCTTTCACTCCACACAGAAACCGCAGGGTTTCATGTCGGCTGTAGGAGCCGTTCCCTCCCCCAGGACAGCGAAGGCAGGGTGCGAGGCAGCCCTCGGCCGCCGTGTTACCCTGGGCCGGCCGGTAATCCCCGGGGAGCGGCCGCCGGGAGCTGAGGGACGGCCACCCCCTC